AGGGTAAGGAAAATAAACAAAGGAGAGAACTTCACATTTATTCACAATTGGAGCTAGAAGAGATATAACTTCTATGGACTAAGGAGCAAATAAGACTTAAGGACCAAACAAACCTCTAAAGTGGTGGGGGTTGAGTACAACTCTCAAAACAAACTTCAAACTTTTATTCTTCTTCTTTTCTTTTCATTTTTCTCATTTCATCTCTTTTTCATGACTTCTTTCTCAATTTTCTCATCATTCTTTTTTTCTTTTCTTTTCTTTCATTGCAAAACAATAAACAAACTTATTCCATGAACCAATACCCCCACACTTAGACAAAATTATCAAGAGGATTGCTAACAAAACAAGCTCCAATAAAGATCTCTTCAATGAAAAAGAATAAATGCTCTATTCTCTCAAGGGTGGAGGGAAATATTTTGGCTAGGGGTTAAGGGTTAAATGATGAGGGTTAACACAAGGAAAAACAATCACAATGAAGGGACAAGTGCTTAGCACTTATTAAACAAACACAAAAGGCTCAATGGGGACAACTAGTGGTAAACACATGTGTAAAGGGTAGGCTTGAAAGGCTCGGGCTAAACAAAAATGGCCTAAATCATTTCTAAACATGTAAATCTTAGACTTCACTTGGAGAGTAATGAGGCAAGTTCTAGCAAAACAACCATGACCGGAATCTCACATAAGCCTTCACTAGTAATGCATAACACACAAGATCAAGAATTGATTCATTTATTAAGTGGTTAACAAGGCAATTGGCAAGATAATAGATCAATCATGTGTTATACCTCAAATCATCAATCACAAATTGCATCGCAACAAGCACCACCAAATCAAACCACAAACCAACAAAGAGGGAGTGATCACAACTTCAAGCAAAGATGAGAAATTTACCCAACATTATGCACAATGACTCATCCAAGCAAGGTTTCAAAAAGTTTCAAAATTTCCAAATTTCAAAATTTTCCAATATTTTGTCCACCCCCCACACTTAGAAATTACATCGTCCTCGATGTAAAAGAAAATAAAGCACAAGGGAGAAATGGTAGCACAATAAGCACAAGTGAGAGCATGATATATCAAAAATGAAAGTGCTATGAAAAATAAAGAAGAAAGTAAAGTGCAATAAAATTAAAGATAACATGGGGTGCCTCCCATGAAGCGCTAAGTTTAACGTCGCTAGCTCGACTTGACCTCTCAAAGAACTATCCATGCATGAACGGATGAAGATGAGTTCCTTTTCTCCATCCACTTTCTCTTCAATAAATGTCCTTAAGTGCCGGGCATTAAGGAACTCCTTTAAGCTCAAAAGTAGCATATTCTTCTCAAAGAAATTGCAATGATCCACTTCCAAGAATATGCTATCTTCATCAATCTTCATCTCTTTTTCTTTTACTTCAACATTTTCTTCCAAATAGCACTTCAAGTGGTGGTCATCAATAAGTTCTTTTAAGATCAAGTTCACCACTCCAATTGCTAGGATTCCATCATTCTTCATTCCAAGCTTCATCCCTCTTTCCTCAAATCCATTCTTGATCCACAAGTCAAACAAAGATTTCTTCCTAAACATTGCTTCTTGGTAGTAGAGATGGGATTGACCAATCCCAAAGTCTCCATTCACATTCCCTTCTTGATTTTCCTTTTCTTGAGCAAGTAATGGAAACCTTGGGTCTTCATCATGCACCAATAGGAAGTAAGAATCCTTGGATAGGAATATAGGACAATGAGGGCCTACACTTTCAAGAATATTGACTCCTCCCGGTTCCCAAATCACTCTAAAGTCCTCATCCAAGGGAGTGTCATCCAATGATGGGCATTCCTTGTTTGTGCCACACATTCCATCAAATTCATCATTCTTTAGCACTTCTTCCATTTTCTCATTCTCAAGTTGCTCCTTATCACCATTATCTTGCAACTCTACACTTTCTCCCCAACTTGGTGTCTCCATCTCAATGCACTCATCATAAACCTCATCGTCTTCATCTTCAAGGTCCTCGCCTATCTTCTCTTTCTCTTCATGACCTTCATTTGGCAAGAGCAACTCTTGTAGAACCTCTCCTTTGGAAAACAATTCTTGAATGGGTTCTTGAGTTGTCAAACCTTGTATTTGAGCCATCATGTTGTCTAGTAGAACTTGCTGCTCATTCATTTGCTTAAGCATGTTGGCCATCATGGACTTCATCTCGGACTCTTGATCAAATGGTTGACATTCTTGTTGAGGTTCTTGGTAAGGGATTTCTTGAAATTGGTCTTCATATTGTTGTTGAGGTTCTTGATGTGGAGGTTCTTGAACTTGGCCTTGATATTGGAAATTAGGATCAAAGATGTAGCATCCTTCGGCTTCATGTGGTCCTCCACATATGGCACACCAAAGAGGTTGTGGCATAAACATTGGTGGTGTACCTCCTTGAAAAGCTTCTTCATTGACATTGACATTATATTCCAAAGCTTGTTGTTGAGTGTCTTGGTGAGGCATTTGGTAAGTGGGAGTCAATATATGGCAACTTTCCAAAGCATGAGAACCACCACATATAGCACACCATGGAGATTGTGGCTCCAAAGCTTGAAAAGTGTTTTCTTGAGGAACTTCTTGACTCATGTTGACACCACACTCTTGAGGGAAAGGTTGACAATCTTGAGGTGGTGTTGGACTTGTGAAGTTTAACTTGTAACAATTCTCCAATGCATGAGCTTCACCACAATAGGAACACCACTTAGAATAAGAAAGGAATGATTGAAGTGGACCACCTTGAAAGGTCTTTATACCCATTTTCATGAAATCGGGCAATGACATTCTTTGCTCTTGGAAATTATACCCCTCCATGATTCAAAGTTCTTGATTGAGTGGTGAAAACTCTTCCTTTTCAATTAAGAGTGAATGCACAAAGAAAAGATCCTTCAACCAAATCTCAATCAAGGTAAGACAATTAGCTCTTTAAACAATAAAAACAAACAAAAAAGAAAGAAAAACTTAGTCTCCTAAGATTCCCTAAACTCTAATGCTAGCAAAACAAGCAATCACATAGAACCACCAAATTACCAATCCCCGGCAACGGCGCCAATTTTTGATTGTAGCAAAAATAAGATGTGAGCTCGGGTGTTATATCGTCCTCAGGGGATTGGGGAATATGGCACGCAATATGCAATCACAATAAACTAGGCACTAGCATAAGGAAATCAACAAGAAGCTAAGCAAACTACAAGTTTAAGGAAATGATAAGACTAACACATATACACAAAGATAAACACAAAATAAAGAAATAGGACTCAAGCTAGGGAGCATTATCATCTAGATGCATAGCACAACCTAAGGATTGGGGAAAATCACACAACCAAGGAATAGAGGCGGGAATGCACGTAGGTATCCTAGTCTACGAACCATTCTCATGATTAATAAACAAGGATTAGAACAAGGAATTGCCCCACTTTCGTGGTGAATCAACTCCAAGTTCTTCAAGAACACAAAGCATCTAAAACCCCCAATTTCTCCCATTTTCATAGGAAAAATCGGGATTATGCAAGGAGTAGCTTGGAATCTTAACCAAACTCTCATTGAGGCCAAGAATCCTCCAAAACATGTCAATGAATGTTGTACACCAAGCATTAACAAAATACAAACACAAATCCTTCATAAACTCAAGAACCCTAGGTAGGCAAAATCCCCTTTATGCAATAATCACAAATCAAGCATCAAGATATATAATACAACCCTAACTCAAGTCCATAAACTAACTACTCATGATTAAATAACATAAAGAACACAAAAGCATAAGTAACAAACATAAATCTTGCAAAAGAAAGGGATAAAAGGAAGGAAAGCTTCTCTATTGAAAATGGATGGTAGAATCTTGAAATCCAAGTGTAGATCCTTCAATACAAGCTTGAAATATGATAAAGAACCTAAATCTACACCTAATCTAACACTAAAATATGAAAAGAAAGAGTAGAAAATAGTTAGGGTTCGAATGGGGTTCAAAACCGAGTAAAAATGAGTGAAAACTTAGCTAAAATAGAGCAGAGACGGGGGGCTCGACGCGTCGAGCGTAATTCTCGACGCGTCGAGAAATTACAGAATGTAAATCGCGACATTCTGCCAAGATTCGACGCGTCGAGAGTAATTCTCGACGCGTCGAGTGCTGATCTGCAACAGAACTTCGACTTGCAGGCTAATTTTGACCCTTTTTTCTTCAGAATTAGGCTTCGGTGTCTTCATGAAAGTTGTAGATCTTCAAGTCTTCTTTCAAATGGCGCAAGAATCACTTAATTTGGATATTTGTAGCTCGAGATATGGTCCAAAAACTAAGACATCGACGTACAGGTCAGGAATTGCATTTGCATGATCTTTTGCTTCTCTTTTGCTTTGGTTTGCCCAAATGACCAAGACCATTGCAAGCACCACTCTTAGGCTTTCTTGGAAGTGTTTTGCTCATCACCTTAGCTTCTCCTTGGCTCCCATGAACCCTAAATGTATCCATAATGCTCCACTTGACTCCAATGTCCTTCAAAATGCATGAAAATATTCATTTTTGCTTCCAAAGCTTTTCAAACCAAATTCCTTGCAAAATAACACAAATTAGTCCTAATCTAATGAAATTTGGAATGATCAATAAACAAAATGGCTTAGTGAAAGGAGCAAAAATATAGACAAATAAGCACTTATCAAGTATCCAAATCATATTTTCTTACTGAAAAGGTCTCTCTGCGGGTTAAAATAGGCACCTAGGGCTTGGTTTAATCATTTGCACTTCTTAATATCTGTTGGTTTTGAGTCATCAAAAACGGATGTATCCTTGTTTTACTACTCACAAGGATCTTATTGTGTATATCTGTTAGTTTATGTGGATGATATACTTATGATGGGGAGTGATAAGGATTTAGTTACTCAACTAGTGTAAAAACTTTTCACTGCATTTAAAATTAGAGATCTTGGTAAACCAGGATTCTTTCTTGGAATTGAGACAATCAAATGCAATGAAGGAATTTTACTTTCACAACAGAGATACATGAATGACATTCTAAAACGTGCTGGAATGGGAGAATGTAAAGAACTATATACTCCTATTTCTACTTCGAAACTCGTGATCATTGATACAGACTTGTACGATGATCCTACACAGTACAAGAGTCTGGCTGGTGCATTACAGTATTTAACTATCACTCGTCCTGATCTTTCCTTTGCAGTCAATCAGTTGTGTCAGCACATGCATGCTCCTACAGTTTCTCATTGGGAACAATTAAAACGAGTTTTGAGGTATGTTAAAGGAACTGTTTATTTTAGTTTACGAGTCAGAAAGTCATCTTCAAGAGAAATTCATGCCTTCTCTGATTCTGACTAGGCTGGCTATCCGGAGGACCGAAAATCTACAAGTGGTTTTGCTGTGTTTCTTGGCTTTAATCTTGTGTCCTAGGTCTGCAAGAAACAAAGAACTGTTGCTAGATCTTCTACTGTGGCTGAATATAAAGCTCTAGTAGACGTCTGTGCTGAGGTAATTTGAATTATGTCACTTCTGCGAGAAATCAAGATTTCAGGTATCTTTGTCCCTAAATTATGGTGTGACAATCTTGGGACTACGTATATTGTGCTAATCCCATTTTTTATGCTCGCACCAAGCACGTTGAGATAGGCTATCATTTTGTAGGAGATAAAGTTGCTACTGGAGACATTCAAGTTAATTCTATCTCAACAAAATGTCAACTTGCATATATATTTACTAAAGCTTTGCCAAATTGGAGACTGTGCGCGTTTAGCAAAATAAGAACGAACGGGAGAGCTGAGGGGGAAAGGAGAAGAAGAAAAGAATAAAAGAGGAAAATGAATAAATTTTAAAGGACCAAAATACCCTTCTAATTACAACACAATATTTTTCTGGCTGGAATTTCGGTAATATGTGGCCAGAAAGTTGGATCAGAGGACCAAAAGTGATACTAATTGGAAATTCATGCACCTAATTTGAAAAAAGCAATAGTCAAGGACCAAAACTGTATCAGCTATGATAGTCAAGGAACCAAAAGTGATATTTACTCCAAAAAAAAAAAACAAAAAAAAAAAAAAAAAAAACACCATAGTTGAACAAAGTGACCCCAAAAGCTCTACCATTTTTGGCAAATAACTAGCCATCAATAAACTTAATTTGCCTTTACTAGTTGCCATTTAGAGCATCTCCAATAGGCATGATTTTTGAGAGGTTTTTGTCATATTACAATAAAAGATGAGAGAGAACCAAAAAAAAAAAAAAAAAAAAAAGCTTTTACGCGGCAAATTATTGTGTGGACCATAACAAAATGTACATTTTTAATATACTAAATGTACATTATTTTTGTACTGAATGTACATTATACAATATAATGTACACTCATTACAAAAATAATGTACATCCCCTGAATGCAATGTACATTATTTTTGTATTGAATGTACATTATTTTTGTACTGAATGTACATTATTTTACAATATATAAAATATGATCCACACAACTTGTGTGGACCATGGTCCACACAATAATGATTGCTTTTACGCACACTGCACGCACCCTCTGGGCGCGCAAGCATTTTCTCCACGCGGGCCCTACATGTTTAGTCCAAAAATCACACTTCCTGCAAAGACTCATTTCCTTCTCTCCTCCACATAAGCATTGTTATCCTCAAAAACTGAGAAAACTCCACTGATGGAGATGCTCTTAAGTTTGGCTAGGATGTCTCATTTCCTTCTCTCTCCTCCACTAGGATGTCTCATTTCCTTCTAACCACTATTTGTGTCAGGCTAGGGTACCACTGATAGAGATGCTCTTAAGTTAGGCTAGGATGTCTCATTTCCTTCTCTCTCCTCCACTAGGATGTCTCATTTCCTTCTAACCACTATTTGTGTCAGGCTAGGGTACCACTTAACTGTCTGCATTAAGGTCCGCCAAGAACCGTTGTCTTAGCGGCTCGTCACTTTTAAGTTTTAACCCAATAACTTGTTCAGAGGGTCAATTATATATATATATATATATATATATATATATATATATATATATATATATATATATATATATATATAAAATTTATTTATTTGTTGGATGACCCAATTGCATTTTCATGTATAATTCAGTTATTAATTTGAACCTTTTTTCAATAAATAAATATAAATACTTCTTGCTCTAAATATTTCTATGAAAGTGGGTATTTAATTCAAGGACCTATGGACTTTCAAAAAAAAAAAAAAAAAAAAAAATTCAAGGACCTATGGCTACTGACTTCATCATCATAATGAATATTTTAATACCAAAACAACAAAAGAAGATAATTAATGGTGGTGATCTCTCTCCCTGGTATCTAGGGTTTTTTGTCTCTCTCCCTGGTATCTAGGGTTTTTGCTTTTTTCGGCTTGATCATCGCTCCCTTTGCTCGTCCGATCACGCTTGTGCTATCAACGACTGCCGAAGAGGTCCAGGGCGAAGCTTCCGAACGCTGAATCATGGATGTCCGCGACATAGTCCAAAGTTGTGCGGAGATAACTCTAGAAGACGAGGAGACGGGGGTTCGGTTCGAAGAGGACCCAGGTTCGGCCGTGGCAGTTGATGTTGTGCGGCAGTATTGGCAGTTAGTTGGACGATTCCTAACCGATCGTAATATCAAGTTTGATGTGATGAGACAGGTAATGGCTTCTGTTTGGAGGCCGTTAATGGGGATACAGGTTACAGAGGTACAACCCAATCTTTACTTGTTTACGTTCTATCATGACACGGACATGGCTTATGTGCTGGAGAATGGTCCTTGGGCGTTTGAGAACGCTACCTTAGTTTGTCAACCTTTGCGGCCTGGAGAGCATCCTACGCAGGTTACGTTGAATACGATTGATTATTGGATACAGGTGCATGACCTCCCGGTCGGCTACCAAACGGATAAAGTCTTGGAGAAAGTGGGGGATTATTTAGGGCTGTTTGTTCGGCTAGATGAACGGAATTTTACGAGGCCTTGGACCAAATTTTATAGAGTGCAGGTTACGGTGGAGGTAACGGCACCTCTGAAAAGGCGCATGAAGATGATTTTGCGAGATAATTCATGGACTTGGGTGAATTTTCGGTACGAACGCCTGCATATGTTTTGTTACTTTTGTGGAAAATTGGGGCACACGGATAAGTTTTGTCTTGATGCTCGTGTGTCTCGCCTGAAACCTGAGCAATATCCGTTTAGTGCGAGTTTGAAGGCTGGGGGCAATTTACCGGCGAAGGCGATGGGGGAGAGTTGGTTGCAAAAAGGGGAACGGAGACACCGAGAGTTGGGTCTCGGCAGTGGGGAGGGGGGCGTTGTCCTCGGTTCACGAATGAGCGCTGACCGCCCGGGTGGTGTTTCGGCCTTACCGGTGGAGGGGTGTCGGGACTTACCGAACGCGGGAATTGGCTCGGCCAGTGTGTCTAGGCCGGGTGCAGCAGTGTTTAGGGATGGGTTTCGGGATGAGGGGGAGGAGGAAGGGGTGCGGGTTGATCCGAAGCGGAGACGGGGTGTGGAGAGGGTGGTGGCGGGGAGAGTGGAGGCGGAGGAGGGTGTGATGTTGGTGGATTCTGATTCTTCTACTATGGCGGGACCTGTTGATCAGGCCCGCCCTACCCAATGAGTATTCTAAGTTGGAACTGTCGTGGCTTGGGCAATCCACGAACAGTTCGAGAAATTGTGGACCTAGTGTCCAAAAAGAAGCCGGATTTTGTGTACTTGATGGAAACGATGGTGGATAGGAGTCATGTGGAGAGGCTCCGTGTGAAGATTGGGTTTGAGGGAGGTTTTGGGGTGGATAGTGTGAGGCAGAAGGGTGGCATGGGTTTTCTATGGGCAAAGAATAATAGCGCTCGGTTAATCAAGTACTCTAATAACCACATCGATCTGGTGGTGACATTACCAAATCGTCATCATTGGAGACTCACTTGCTATTATGGTTTTGCCCAGAATACGAGGAGAAGGGAGTCGTGGGATTTTCTACGATCGCTCAAGGATGCATCTGATCTTCCTTGGGTGGTAATAGGGGACTTCAACGATCTTCTTTATCAGTCTGAGAAGAGGGGTAGACGGCTGCATCCAACTGGTTTGTTAGAAGGGTTTGGGGATGCTCTTACTGATTGCGGTTTGACGACTATTCCCATGATCGGGTATCCGTACACCTGGGAACGGAGTAAGGGGACTCCGAATTGGGTAGAGGAGAGGCTGGATAGGGCAGTGGGGGATGCAGCTTGGCTGGAGATGCATAATAGAGCCAGGTTATATAATATTCAGACATTAATGTCGGATCATACGGCCATTTTTCTGGATATTAATGGCTCAGCTACAGTACGGAGGCCACGTGGTTTTCGCTTTGAGAATGCGTGGTTGGAGGATGAGGGTTGTAGGGGGGTGATGGAGAATCAGTGGTTGAATACGCAGGGTATGGGGTTGCAGGAGAGGTTGTGGATGTGTGGCCAGGGTCTGAAGAAGTGGGGAGGGGAACACTTTCAAAAATTTGGGTCCAGGATTGACACTATAAGGCAGGAAATGAATGCTTTGAGAGGCCGTATGGACCCAGTTTCTTTGGGGCAGTTTAGACAGTTGGATGGGCAGTTGTGTTCCATCCTGTCGCAAGAGGAGTCTTTCTGGAAACAAAGGGCCAAGCAGCACTGGCTGCAGGGTGCGGATAGAAATACAAAGTTTTTCCATCAGTACGCCACGTATCGGAAAAGGAAGAACTTTGTTATGAAGCTTAAAGATGAGAATGGGGCTTGGAAGGAGGGGGATGGCCTAACTTCGCTGGTCACAAGTTATTATGAGCAAATATTCCAGTCCAGCGGCGGGTCCGGGGCGTTTCACGTGGATACCCTCACACCACGTGTCACGCGTGAGCAGAACGATGATCTTCTTCGTTCGTTTGAGCCTGGGGAGGTGAAGCGCGCCTTGTTTTCCATGGGGAAAGATAAGTTACCAGGACCGGATGGCATGAATCCGGGCTTCTACCAGGCATTCTGGGATCTCGTTGGTAAGGATGTTACTGATTTTGTACTTAATTGTTTATCTCAATCATCATTTCCCCTAGAGCTGAATGATGCGAATATTGTTTTAATACCTAAAAAGGTAGCCCCTGAGTTTGTTGCGGATCTCAGGCCGATTGCTTTGTGTAATGTGGTTTATAAACTAATGGCCAAGATGATTGCTAATCGTATGAAACCGCTGCTTGATAATATTATTTCGGAGTCGCAGAGTGCCTTTCTGCCAGGTAGGCTCATCTCGGACAATATCCTTATTGCGTCTGAGGTTGGTCATTACCTACGAAGGAAACAGCTAGGGCATGTAGGTTGGGCGGCCCTCAAATTGGATATGGCTAAGGCCTATGATCGA